CTATGCGATGGTCGTGTCCTCGCTGAGGTGGCAGCCCCTCCGGCAAATCGTCCGGAAAAAATCCCCGGGTACCATTTCAGTAGTTCCTGTAGTTCGGGCGGTACGGCTGCTAGCAGTTTCTGAAAATCACTCAGCTGCTCGGCTTCTCCCACCAATGCGATATCCACCGCGTACACGTCAGCTCCAGCGGGGACAACCCGTTTCATCGGGATGGCGTTGACGTGGACCGTCGAAGGCTCGGGTGACCGCCAGCGAGGTAATTCGACCCAGTTACCACTACTTCGCACAGTGCAGCTACCCGTCGTCCAGTCAATTCGCGGGTTGTAGCGTCGCAACCAATCACGCCCCAGTAAAATGCCGTGCCCATCCAGTGTCGTCGCGAGCATTTCCTGTGTAAACCCAAAATCCCCCCCCGCAACGAACTTTCACCCTCTCCACTTTCTCCCGTATGGCCAGTGGCGTGGCGTCTACTAAACGTGCGTCGATCTCCGGTAAACAGCGACTAAGTGTCAGTTGTAGTTTCCGTGCGGTGGCGGTATTAACTTGTCAGAATAGCAGGCATAACGAGGAGCCATAGCTAGGGTTTAGCTAGCTAGGCAAGAGAAAATAGGCAAAAGAGGAGATTCACTAGCAAGCAGGTGGATACATATAGGAAACCCTAAGGGGCCGTACTCACTATAGAGTACCCCACTGCAGGCTAGACAAACTACACATTCTGACACACCCCCATAGTCAAAGTGGGGTATAATCAGCAGAGCAAGCAGTCATAGAGCAGGTTCACCAGTACAAGCAAAGCTAGAGGCATACACAAAGGGCAAGTGAGGAGGAGGAGGCTGGACTGTGAGAGGAGAGGAGATAGGAGGCGACGGCTGAAGTTGCAGACACACGGGCAACAGGAGCGGCGCGCACGGTGGCTACCGGAGCAAGGGCCCCGGACTACAGGAGTAACTGGCTCTGCGGCTAACTCTGAGCGGCAGGAGCAACGGACCCACGGGCGACAGGCGCAGCAGGCTCTCTGAGCTACCAGAAGCAGAGCCCCGGACTACAGGTGTTGCGGACGACAAGACGGCAGCCTCCGCTCAACCTCCCCCAACTGTCCCACCCCCCTTTCACACACCCCTTGCTGCACCCCTAGCTCCACTCCCACGTCACTCCCCTAGCACCACTCCCTCGGCTCCCACACACCCACCCCCCTCAGCGGCAGCTGCAGCAGTGGGAGACGGAGGAGGAGGAGGAGCAGGGGACTGTGTAACACCCGTCACCCCCATACTTGCCACCCCCACACCCGCCACCCCCAAACCCTAACACGGGCAACACGGGGCAGGAGCGCGGGCAGCAGCGCAGGGGACGACGCGCGGCCCCCCAGGGCGCCGCGACGGGGCAGCGGGGGCCGCGCGCGGCTCCCTAGGGCGCCTCGACGGGGCAGCAGAGGGTCGCGCGCGGCTCCCCAGGGCGACGCGACGAGGCAGCGGGGGCCGCGCGCGGCTCCCAAGGGCGCCGGGACGGGATAGCAGGGGCCGCGCGCGGCTCCCCAGGGCACGGCGACGGGGCAGCGGGGGGCCGCGAGCGGCTCCCCAGGGCGTCGCGACGGGGCAGCGAGGGCCGTGCGCGGGTTGCGGGGCGACGCGACGAGCTCCCGGGGGGGCGACGCGACCGCCGATTGGGGGGGACGCGCGGGTCCACGGGGTGACGCGTGAAGCAGGAAGCCGCCACGCGCCTTGGGGCGCACGGCGGGCAGAAAACCGCCATGCGCCCCGAGCGTGTGGCGGGAAGAAAAAAAAGCGTCGCGCGCCACGGGGCGCGCGACAGACAGGAACGCAGCGGAAGCACGTGGGGCCCACAGGCCAAGAGCATAACAGCTCTGATTCCATGTCAGAATAGCAGGCATAACGAGGAGCCATAGCTAGGGTTTAGCTAGCTAGGCAAGAGAAAATAGGCAAAAGAGGAGATTCACTAGCAAGCAGGTGGATACATATAGGAAACCCTAAAGGGCCGTACTCACTATAGAGTACCCCACTGCAGGCTAGACAAACTACACATTCTGACATAACTAAGCTGTGAATTGCTCCTCCGTCTATAAAAATCTTCACTGCTGTCCCCTGTATTTTCTCGTAAATCAGTATTGGGCAATCTGTCGCTGTACCCTCCTTGTTCATCCAAGCCCGGACGATGGCGTGAATCGGTACTGTGACTCGGTGAGAGTCAGTGGGGTCGGGCGAGCAGTGAGTCTCGTCAGTAGTGGACCCGATCTCTACTGACTGTTGGCGTTTCCCTGCCTTCCACACTCCCTCCCGTGCTCTGCTCCATGGCGTTTCAGCTCCTCTGGGCACTCGCTCTTGCGGTGGCCCGGCATGTTGCAAGCAAAGCAGCGCCCTTTAAATGGCGCAGCAATTGCGTTTGCTGCAACGGCATGTACGGTGGCGTGCTTGATCGGTCCCCGAGGACGATGTCCGTAGTAGGACCCCGGTCTCGGACGGCGCAAAATGTCGATTTTCTCGGCGAGCGCGAGGATCTCGTTGAAATTCGATAGCCCGCGTAGCATGATTTCGTGCGAGATGTCCGGCTTCAGCCCTCCGACGTAACGGTCCACCCGCTCCGCCTCGTGCATGTAACCGACTTGCTCGCACAGTGCGAGAAAACCGCTCGTATAAACTTGGACCGACCCAAGTTGTCGCCAAGTACGCAGTTTCTGACGCGCCGAAATAGAAGCCGCGATCGGCTCGAAGCGCGCCCGAAGCCCTGCGCGCCACGCATCCCACGTGCTGTACTGGGCGGTTTCGCAGAACGAACGGCTGGACCCGTGGGCCCTTCCTCTTGCGACGGCGGCTCGTAGGCGCATGGCGACGTCACAATGACTCGCCACCAGTCCATGGCGGGGCCCCGTAGCAGCGAAACAACGTATCGTATCTTCGCTGCGTCCGACTCGACGTAATTCGCGTCGAAGAAGACGTTCATCGTGAAGACCCACGATTGAACTGTCAGACCTCCGCGTTGGCTAGGATTGAAACAGGGCGGGCGCTGCGGCTTGAGCGGCATCGGTGCGACGATGTTGTCGTTACCGCTTGTTGCTGCGAATTCGACGTGACGACGGGCTTCACGAGGCCCGCTCGTGTTTGGTGCAGCCCTGTTCCTCTCCATGCCAGGCATTGATTGGGCGGCGCCATCACTGGCTGCGCCTGAGCGCTGTCCCACGCTGTCGTGTTGTGACGGTGTGCCGGATGAAATAACAATCGGCTCATCCGATTGCCCAGGTGCATTTGCAGATGTCGGTGTTGGTGCTGGTGCATTCGCCGTTGATTGCTGGCGGGCGGAGTCACGTTCCGCCGTGAGTGTCGCGATTTCGAGCGCCGAATCCTCGAGTTGGCGTACGAGCTGGTCGAGCTGCTCCTGCATCAATGTCGCGAGATTGAGTTCGGCCATGGCGGGGGTGTCGGGCAAGCTCAGCGAGAGCCTCAGTCTTGGCCGTGCGTTCTTTCGAGAGAGCACTTCAAGCGGCGGTGCCTGAACGCTGAGAGACGTCTACCCCCTCCAAAAATTGAGATAGTGGGGAAGCGAAGGTGTGGGTGCGGTCCGAGAAGAGATCGTAAGCTCTGAAGACTAGGTGTTACGAATGCAATTGAGCGAGCGAGCGAGAATTGCACTATCGAAGCAAACAATACAATGAGCGAAGGCATGAGCGAATAATATATAGCGAAGCTAGCGTGGTAACGGTAACGCGAGAAATTGGGGTGCGCTACGGGCCTAGCGCCGAGGTTGGGAAATGTCGAGGCGGAGGTCCGGAGCGCAGGTTACCAACCGAACCGTGAGGTAGGGTCGCATCGTGAACAGTGGCGGGAGTCGTGGTCGAGGCGAGTGTCGCGAGCGGGTAACGTTTCACTGTTGGGTGCCGGTGGCGGGAATGGTCATGTACGTGGTAAGCAGGGGCGCGAAGTAAGGAAAAGCAATTTTCCTTACACCTAGGTATACTTTTTTTAGTGATGTAACGCCAGAGCAGCAGCGCAATTGGTGTAGTGATGTAACTCTGAATAGCCCTGCCATTTACAATTTCCGAGTCGTGCATTCATTTGGATCATTTACAGCCTTCCCCGCGACCAAATCCGACATTTGATTTGTTGCGCTTCCAATGAAGCGCAGCGAGATCGAACGAGGCGCGTTCCGTTAGGTGGCTTGGCAACGCCGCCTCGAGTGGGACATCAGCAAATTTGCAGCTGGGCGCGCACGAACTCCCTGAGGGGGAGGTCTTGACTCTCGTCTCTCTCGACTCCTTCCTCCATGTGCTGCTAGGCTATGCTGCACTGTACCAACCTACTCCTCCTGCTGCCCAATGTGCGGGGTCTACTTGAGGGTGCTGGTTCCACGCACTCGCAAACCCGATGGATGGAATGACATGGTTTTGCCTACTTCCATGTGGAACCCATCAATGAAAGGCAACGGACGCTGACTCACTCCCACTTGCGTGGCGTGTGTCGAGCCACGAGCGAGGGAGCCGTGCTGGTCTGCTACTGCTGCTGCTTAGTGGGCAGGCACTGAGCAGCGTTACAGTCTCACCCTTCGTGCTCCACCAGCACAGCACCACAACCTCTGGAGCGACTCGCTCTAGACTAACGTTGGGAGGGATGGTCGAGCTCGATCGAACCTTCCAGAGTTTCTTCTTACGAGTACGGTACGGATCAACGAACAGAGTTTGGTGAATAGCGTCCCAATCCCGTGCATTCAGAGCTCGTTTCAAAACAGTGAAGGCGACCGAATCAGCTCCTTTCACGCACCCGTTTCCCCTCTTCCCTGCCCCGCCACGCCGCATGACGCCTGTTCCTATGAATGGACCACCAGCGGAGTGCCTTTCGCTACCTCTTCTAGCATTCTAATTCCCCTATTCTCAAAGCAGCTCTCCCTCCTCAGCGATCGCAACCCGAGAGGCACCCACCATCTCTCGCAAGACTGATTCACCCCACCTTCCATATACTAACCTTCACGCTAGTGTCATTGAATGATACGTCACCATGGCGTCACCAAACAGCGCTAGCTCGCGCACTGATCCCCGAACCAAATTGCGCGGCTCCTCGCCGCCTCGGCGCCCTCCGCTGATCACGGCACTAGGCGAAACAATCTGTCCTTTCCCCCGCGCCAAGGGTGCGCGCGGCCCCCTCGCGTGGCTGCACGGCGCGCTCTGCTCCCCGCATCACGCGGCGGCGCTGTTGCGAGCCCCCGCCGCCCTCTTCTTCCTGCTCCTCATCGCCGCATGGATCTCGGGCGCCCTCCACTGGCCCTTGTTCTCCCTCCCCACCTTCGGCGCCGTCGAAAGCGCCGTAGGGCCGACTGAACTAGCTGTGGAAATGGCGCGGCTGGAGGCGATCGAGAGTCTTACCTCGAGACTGTCGACGGGATCGGCGAAGCGGCGTGATGACTTGGCAGCTGGAGGCGACGTGGAGAGAAGAGCGCCGCGAAAGATGGGCGGGGGAAACGCACATCCGACAACGAAGAGGGATGAACGGGGGACGGTGAACGAAGAGTCGAGTGGAGGGGTGGTAGTGAAGAAACCGGACACGCAGCTCACGAAGCTGAATGGCAAGGAAGTGGCGCAAGACACGGACTTGCTAGTAGAGCAGGATACGTCAGCAGGAAATGCACGTGGGTTGCGAATAGGTGACGGAATGGAGACAGAAGAGTGGCGGGAGGATGCGAACGAAGGGGGCGATGCGTCGGATGCTCTCAATGAATCGAGTACTAGTGAGGCCGGCAGCGGAAAAGGCACGGGCCGAGAGGAGAGGACGAGCGAGGAAACCGTAGTTGAGACAAAGGTGAAGACGGGAGAGGCAAGAGAGGCAGGGGGAGGCCCGGGGGAGAAGAGAGGCGAGGAGGATGAAGGGAGGCGGGGTGGTGGCAATGACGACAGCGAGGAGGACACAGGCGGGGTGGATCGCGATCGACTCGATCCAGCCACCCCTTTCACCCACGGCGATGGCGCTAGTGCGGCTCTCAGCGGGAATGAAGGCGATTTCACTGCTGCTGTCCACGATCCCCCCCCCACGGCAGCTGTTGAACAGGATGCCGCAACCGACGTGTCGGATCACTCCACGTCATCACCTCCTTCCGACGAGAACGCGTCATCAGAATCGCCGAACGGGAACGACGACGTCTCGCAGGCGTCGCCATCCGTAGCGCAGCCCTCATGCGACGGCCGCCGTGTGTTCGTCTACTCGATGCCGCCCGTCTTCAACGACGACATCGTTCGCACGGCGTGCGACGACGACCCGCTGCTCGCATGGCTCACCTGCGACGCCTTCCGCAACCGCGCGCAGGGTTCCCGCCTCCCCGCCAACCGCGACGGCGGGCGCGCGCTGATCGCCGCGCTGCTGGCGGCGAAGATGGAAAAAACGGCGCAGGCGCGCGGGGAGGGGAAAGCGGAAGACGCGGAAGCGGGGGAATGGGCGTGGCTGCACCGATGGTACAGCACGGAGCAACACCAGATCGAAGCGCACTTCCGCACGCGCTTGGAGAACCACCCGTGCCGCACGCACGACGATACAGAGGCTGACGTGATCCTGGTGCCGGCTTATATGGGGTGGAACGCGTATAAGAACACGCTTCACCCGGGCCACTTTCCGCACCCGGGTCTTGCGCTCAAGGAGTTTCTTCTCGGGCAGCCCGCGTTTCAGCGAACCAAGGGAGCGCGCCACGTGGTGGTGCTGGGGCGCGCGATTTGGGACTTCGCCAATCACCATCAAGTGGACGACCCGCCGCATTACAACGTTGTCTTCGTTCCGGAGCTCGCTAATGTCACATTCCTTTCAGTCGAGCAGCCGCCTTATCGAGAGAGCTACGCCACGCCTATATTCTCAGTACCGTACACCACCACTTTCCACCCCGCGTCGCTCACGGAAATCAACCACTGGCTCGCGCTCGTCGCCGCGCGCCGCCGCCCGTTCCTCTTCTCCTACGTGGGCGGACGCCGCCCCTCGGGTACCACGAGCGGGCCGCTGCGCAAGGCGCTGATCGCGCAGTGCGAGCGCGCGGGGAACGCGACGTGCCTGTGGATGAAATGCACGGGGGGCGACGAGGTGGGGCAGGAGCTGCCGCTCTTCACGGCGGCGGACGCGGCGGCGGACGCAGGGACCGCGCTGGGGGCGGCGGTGGAGGCGGTGGTGGGGAGCGCGGCGCCGCGGGACGCGGAGGGGGAGGACGTGGCGGAGTGGGTGCCGTCGGGATGCTATGACACGTGGCAGGTGGCGGTGGTGATGCTGCAGAGCCGGTTCTGCCTTCAGCCGACAGGGGACAGCTCTGTTAGACGCTCCACGTTTGACTCGTTATTAGCAGGCTGCATTCCTGTGTTCTTTAAGGAGGAGAGCTTTAACATGCAGTACCCGTGGCACTTCCCCGAAGACAGGAGCAGCATCTCCGTGACGCTCGACGAGGCGCGCGTGCTGAACGGGACGGTTGACGTGGCAGCTGAGCTGGCGGCGATCCCGGAGGAGCGTGTGGCGAGCATGCAAGCGAGGATCAGGGAGTTGGTGCCGCAGCTGCTGTATCGCCACATGGCATTGCCGCGTGGCGGGGACAGGGGGGAGGGGAGGGTTGGGGGGAATGCTGAGGGTGGTGCGGTGGAGAATAATGACGGGGAGTGGAAGGATGCTTTTGATGTGTCGTTTGACAGCCTTGTTGCTGAGTTCAAGCGGAGAGAGGGGAAGAGTGAAGGGGGAGAGCGGGGTGAGTGAGGGGAGGGAAGGATGAGTGAGGGGTCAAGAGGGGAACTGAGCTATGGGGATTGGGAGTGAGCTGGTGGGGATTGGGAATGAAAGACAGCGAGTGTGAGTGAAGGGAATAGATGGAGCCCAATGGTGGAAGAGTGAGAGAGTGTAGTGGGGAGTGAGGAGGCAGCGCACACTAAGTGTGGCCAAGGGAGCAACAGTGAGCGGAGAACAAGGAGGTGCGTAGGAAATAAGCAGTAACGCTCAACATTCTTGTGCAGGGTCGGTGCCTGTGCTCTCTCGGCACGCATCGGCACGCAGCAGGCATGCGCAGCAGCACGCTGTGGTGTGGTGGCCTCCCCATTGCTCACTGCCTGGAGTTGGAGCAGCAGAGTGGGGTGGCTGACAGGGGTGGATGGGGAGCGGAGCAGCTGCGGGCGTGGCATGTCAGAGAGGAGTTGGATCGAAGCAGCCAAGGGGGCAGGGGACAAGGGGGCAGGGGACAAGGGGGGGAGCCACGGGGTGAGTGAGGAGAAGCACAGCAGCAGGCATTCAGCGGAGGCAGCTCGCTTGGCAGGCACCATAAATGGGGGCCACATGGCCATGGGATGGGTTAACTTTGACTGATGATGCGGTAGGGGGTAGTGTAGGCAGGCATTCTTTCTTTGATATGGCATTCTTTACTTGGTTGTACTGTACTGGACGATGGTAGTTAGACGTAACAATGTGCTGAAGTATGTAGCATGAACAGTAGACTAGGCAATCAACCTGACTCGAGGCCCTGCTGATCTGTCAGATGCTTGTGGCTGTAGTAATTAAATAGTACCGTATTGATGTAGCCTATAACAAGTGCATACATACTACACCCCACAACTGCCATTCACTGCCATGCCATGCCAGGAGATGCCATACCATGGCATCACAGCAGTGGCAGCTGCAGCAATCGTGTGCCTCCCTCACAGGGCCTGAGACGTCTCCGAAACCCTCCAGCACGCGCCGCTCGAGGCGTTCCCCCCCCTCCTCCGCCACCCAGAACGCGAGGCGCGGCACCCACGCCTCTCTGACGGCCACCATTGACACGTGTCAATCACACGCCCCCAGCAGCACCTCCCACTCCATGTGTGCGCCGCGCCTCACAGGCCCTCCAACATACGCTACTCTACACGCCCCCAACCCCTCCTCTGCCAGCCAGCACGTGAGGCGTGGCACCTATGTGTCTCCCCCACGGCGCCTGAGACGTTTAAAAACACACCCTCCAGCACCTCACACTCCACGCGTGCGTCTCAGAGGCCCTCCAGCATCCGCCGCTCCACACGTTCTTCCCCCTCCTCCGCCAGCCAGCACTTGAGGCGCGGCACCCACGCCTCCCTGACGGCACGGAAGCGGATCAAGGAGGGGCTGTCGGAGAGCACGAGCAGCACCACGCGGTCGCTGCGACGCAGAGGGGGAGGCGGTGAGGGGATGGGCACTAGCATCTGCACGCGGGGGTGCACAAGTGGGACACATAAGGGGCATAGGGGCACATGGGAAGCGCAGCAGCGAGGGGCTGTCGGAGAGCACGAGCAGCTCCACTGGGTCGCTGCGACGCAGAGGGGGAGGCGGTGAGGGGATGGGCACTAGCATCTGTGCGAAGGAGGTTGCACAAATGAGACACATGAAGTGGGCACAGGGTCGCATGGGAAGGATTGGCAGCAGCAGGGGGGAGAAGTGGATGAGGGGCATGGCCATCAGTGTATGCGCGCACACGCCCATATGGAGTGCACCACCGTGCATTGAAAGGGGTGCAGCGCTTGGGGGGAGGGTAAGACGAGTGGAGGTAGGGGTACAAGAAAGGGGAGGGCAGAAGGGGATGAAGTTGGTGCGTGTGTGTGCATGCAGGAGCGAGGGCATGAGAGATGGAAGCACGGAGGAGCGAAACAACTAGGATCCATGCCACAGCGGGTGCTGCTCGCATCACTCCCACTTGCCTCTATGCACGTGCCGCTGTCATCGCCAATCAGCAGCCGCCACCTGGCGAGCGGCCCCCGCTGCTCCACCTGCACGTCCAGGAGGCGCGCCTGCCACACGCCTGACGGGGAGGTGGCATGTGGGGGAGGTGGCACGTGAGGGAGGTCGCATGTGAGGGCGGTATGCTTTGCTGCATGCGATCCCCACTTGGGTAGCAACCGCCTGTGCTCCATCAGCATGCCCACGAGCATCCATCAGCATGCCCACGAGCACTTTGTGTCAAGCCGGCACACCTCGGCCAGACATGCTTGGAACCGACGGGAAAGGGGGGAAGCGACGGGAAACAAGGATATGCATGAGTGGGAGCAGGAGGAGATGAGTGGAGGGAAGAGAGTGATGTGCGCACAGAGGGACATGCGGGACACGGATGGCATCACACACGCAACTTCTCTCTGCAACCGCTCTGTCCCATGCCCTTCAGCACGCTATATTGCTTCCCCGACTCAGTCACATGCTTATACCGCATCCCACTCACCTGCATACTTGTATCGGATCCGGAGGGCAGAGTTGCAGGCAGCAGCGTGCCAGAGCGGCCACCAGAGGAAGTACATGGCGGCAGCGATGGTGGCGAAGACGTTGACGTTGTAACACAGCACTGCGCCGCCCATGGAGAGCACGAATCGCTGCAGCCAGTCTAGCGGGGAACCCATGAAGGCTACCACCTGGGGTGTGAGTGAGGGAGTAAAGGAGGGAGTGAGGGAGGGAGGGAGTGAGTGGGTGAGTGAGGAAGCACATGGCAGCGGCGATGGTGGCGAGGACGTTGAGGTTGTGAAACAGCACTGTGCCGCCCATGGAGAGCACAAAGCGCTGTAGCCAGTCCAGGCGACCCCATGAAGGCCAACACCTGTGCGTGTGTGAGTGAGTGAGGGAGTGAGTGAGGGAGTGAGTGAGGGAGTGAGGGAGGGAGTGAGTGGGTGAGTGAGGAAGTACATGGCAGCAGCGATGGTGGCGAACACGTTGGCGTTGTAACACAGCACTGCGCCGCCCATGGAGGGCACAAAGCGCTGCAGCCAGTCTAGAGGCGACCCCATGAAGGCTAGTACCTGGGCACGAGAGAGGAGAGAGGGAGCGAGGGAAGGAGTGAGGGAGTGAGGAAGCACATGGCAGCAGCGATGGTGGCGAAGACACTGGGGTTGTAACACAGCACTGCGCTCCCCATGAAGGCCAGCACCTGTGTGAATGAGTGAGGGAGCGACGGAGGGAGTGCGTGCGGGAGCGAGTGTGAGGAAGGGCAAAGCAAGCTATGGGTGGGCTGTCGTGGGATGGGTGGGTGCAAGAGCATGGTTGAGAGTGCCAGTCGCATGCGTCAGCATGTCGTGTCATCGCACCTGGGAACCGGAGCCAGCAAAGGGGAGGAGAGAGTCCAGCGCCGAGGGGGGCAGGGGGAGCACCGAGGGAAGGGGGCGTGGGGAGGAGGCGGGGGAGGGGGAGGACTCGCGGAGAGGGGCAGGGGGAGAGGATGAGGGGATGGGTGCGAGGGGGGAGGATTGAGAGGAGAGGGGCTGCAGCTGCAGCTGCTGCTGTGGCGGGGATGATTGTGGCAGTTGCTTTGGTACTCGCTGCTGCTGCCGCTGCTTCTGCTGCTGCTGCTGCTCACGGTTCTGCTGCTGTAATCTCGTGCTCCTGTCCCCACCAACCATCCCAGTATCCATGCTCCCATCAGTGCTCCCCCACCCATCTCCGTCTCCCCTACGCCACGTTTCACCGTACTCCACCACTCTCCACCCTTCATCCCCTTGGCCTCGCTCTGCCCCAAACCGTCTCACACGCTCCACGTTACCGTCCCCCATCCACCCCTGCACGCCCCGCGCCCTCCCCCTTCCTGCTCCGCCGCTCTCCTCTCCCCAGCCTCCGCGTTCCCCCCGAGCGCCCTGCTCCTCGCCGTCCCCATCCCATCCGCTCTCCCAATCCGCCGGCCCGTCCCCTCGTCCCTTCCCCGTGTCCCACTCCCCGCTGCGCGCCGAATGCCCTCCCGCATCGCCATTGGAAGGTCGCGTCAGCCAATCAACGGCGCCGCCTGCCTCCTGCCGCAGCCTATCCTCGGCTGCCACGTCATCAGCGTACCCAACAAAGCGCTGTCGCGAGCCCTTACTTCCCGCCTTTCCCCCCTCCTCCGTTCTCCGCCATTCCCCCTGCCGCTGCGGCTTTGTTCTGGACCCCCACCTTCCCGCCTCCCTGCGGCGCTCCTCCGCGTCGAAGCCTTCCGCCCTGCGCCCCTCCGCGCGCGTCAGTTTCCGCCCTTCCAAACGCCCCCCCCTTTCACTGCCCTCTCCAACCGTTGCGCGCACGCGGTTGGACGCGCGACCTGCAGCGGAAACCGGGCCGGCACGCGCAGGCATGCGCGAAGTGGGTCGCGCGGCGAGTAGGGACACCCCGCAGCTGTTGGCGCAGCGCAGGCGCTCCCCATTCAGCGCGCGCGGGGAGGACGATGAAAAGGGCGGAAGCATGACTCCGCGCAGAAGAGACTAGAACGAGAGGCGCAGGGGCGGCGTGGTGACTGCGGGGGGAGCACGGTGGAGACGCAAGGCCAACGTGTGCACATGAATGGGAGAGGCGAAATCGTTGGGCGATGCTTTCAATGTCTCCTGACAGCGTACGCGAGAAGGAGAGCTGGGCGAGTCCGACATAATACAATACAATTTACAATGCTTTTAGGGCTGGCTAAGTTCTAACAAACCATCAGCATAACAAGACATGAGACCATGTTCTCATATTTCAGCCTTTAGTCTAATTTGTCTGACTTTCAGTATTTGTTTGTTCATTGGGTCATTAAAGATCAGCAAAAATGAGGATACAGAATTGGGTTTTTGTCTGATTTTCAGAGTAGGGTAGATTTGCAATCTGATTTTGCAGACAACCTGTCTGAGGGCCTGCACGAGACCTATATTTTATATTCTATATTCTACGTACCGACGGTGTACCGTACATGCCAATACTTCTGAGTCTTCCTAGGGGATGGTCAGGGTGCATCAGTACGGTATTTGTCTGTTTGTGGAAGGGGCACCGTTCCACTAAAAGGCATGTCCAGCAGGCTGAAAGCGGGATGCTCACATGACGAATTAGGCGGGTTCTTTGAAAATCCTCATCCACACCCTGTGTCTCCAGCTGGAGCTCTCAAGACCAGTTTCCTTGGCTGTCCACCATGGTCCATCATCAACAAACGGTTCATCCGTCACCACATTGAGAGGGCACCCCTCAGGCACCCTCGAGCCCATTCTCAAGCTTCCCATAAGCCGTGGGTGCACGTGCAGCCATCCCATCCTCTTCCTCCCCCATTCCACCCCCCCAGCTCACGTGCCCGGCTTGCGCTTGAAACGGTTGGGCTTGCTGGGGTCTAGCGGCACGTAGGGGGGCGGGGAGGCCGGTGGCGGCGGCGGTGGTGGCGACTTGGCAGGCGACGGGGACGGGGACGGCTTGGGCTTGGACGGCGACGGGGATGCCTTCGGCTTGGAGGGCGATGGGGCCGGCTTGGGCTTCTTGGGCGTCGGCTTAGGCTTGGGTTTGGGTTTAGGCTTGGAGGTAGGCTTGGAGGAGGCGGCGGTGGGGTTGGAGGCGCCGGAGAAGAGCGGCTCGGCGAGCAGCATCTCGTGGAAGAGGTCCACCCAGATGTCCGGCACGCCCGGCTGGCACCAGTGCAGACAGTCCAGGTACTTCACCGGCTGTGGGCGACGGGATGGGGGATGGGAATGGGAGAGGGAATGGGGACTGGGAAGGTGGTGAGGATGGGGATAGGATGGGGGTGGGGACAGGGAAGGGAGTGGATATGTGTGCAATGGACATGCACCACAGCTGGGAATGCAGCATCTCGTGGAAGGGGGCTAACCAGATGTCCGGCACGCCCGGCTGGCACCAGTGCAGACGATCTAAATATTTCACCGGCTGTGGGGGATGAAGGGGAGGTGGGGGTTGTGGGCATGGGTATGGAAGGTGGGATGGATATGAAATTGAGAATGGGGGTGGGAGTGGATATGCGTGTGCTCCGATGTCGGGCACGCCCGGCTGGCACCAGTGCAGACAGTCTAAACATTTCAGAATGGAAGATGGGAATGGGAGTGGGGATGGAGATGGGCATTGGGAAAGTTATGAGAATGGGGATAGGATGGGGGTGGGACCGGGAAGGGAGTGGATATGTGCGCATCTACATGCAGCATCTCGTGAAAGTGCAGACAGTCCAGGTACCGCCACCGCCGCCGCCGCCGCCGCCGCCGGCCTCCCCGCCCCCCTACGTGCCGCTAGACCCCAGCAAGCCCAACCGCTTCAAACGCAAGCCGGGCATGGGCCAACCGCGGTTTGACATCTCGAGCGGGGATGCGAGTGGGAATGAGAACGGGGATGGAGATGGCAGTGGATATGTGTGTGGTCAAACATGCACCAAAATTGGAAATGCAATTCGTTATGTATGAGTGCGAGGAGTGCGATGGGTGAGGGGGATGAGAAGAGTGAGAGCAGTGAGGATTCAGCGGAGTCAGGGCGGCCACGCACGTTGTTCTTTTTGGAATAGATCCCGCAGTGCGCCTCGGGCCGGTACGCGCTCACGAGCGTGATGTCAAACCGCCGCACCGCCGACCCCTCGGGGAACGCGGCGCGCTGCATGGGCCAATAGCGCGAGAGCTGCACGTTGGTGCGCAGCATCTTCTCGATCTCCTGCTGGTTCAGCACGCGCCCCGGCGACCCGCACACGCCGCTGCCACCAATCTTCTTGGCGGAGTGCTGCGGGGGCGCGGTCATGAAGAAGGGCACGGGGAACGCCTTCCCCGCCTTGCGCCGCGCCTCAAAGAAGTTGGCGATCGTCTTCAGCGCGCGCCTGGAGTGGGAAGAGGGGAGAAACGGGGCAGCGGGGAAGGGGGGAAGGGGAGGGGAAGGATACGTCAAAGGAGGGCGGATGCGTGAGTGTGCTACATGCGTGCGAGCGTGCATCGTTTCCCCTCTTAATCACAAGCCCCATGCACCCACCCTCCCTCCCCGCAGCACTCACGCGTGCGCCATGTAGGGGTCGACGGCGTTGAGCGGCCAGTCACACAGGCGCCATGCATCCCCTTCCCCTTCCCCCTCCCCCTCTCAGCCACCCCCCCTTTGCACTCACGCGTGCGCCATGTAGGGGTCGACGCCGTTGAGCGTCTACACCCCCTTCCCCTTCCTCTTCCCCTTCCCCTTCCCCATCTCCACCCCCCCGCGCGGCACTCACGCGTGCGCCATGTAGGGGTCGACGCCGTTGAGCGTCTGCGAGTCGTCGTTGGTGAAGATGAGGCGCGGCGCGTCGGGCACCACGCGCCAGTGCGACGTGGTCTCCAGCAGCACCGCGTGCCACTCGCCCACCACGTCGCCCCACTGCGGGTTCACCGTCTCCACGTCGATTATCGTGTCGTCCGGCCCGGGCGTAAAACCGGTTGCCAGTTTGGCTATCATGCCCTTGTCTTTGGGGGTGGTGTGAGTGTGTGCGTGTGTGTGTGTGTGGGTGTGCGCAAAGGGAGGGGAGGGAGAGGGAGATCAGCCCCACGTCGTTCCACTGCGGGTTGACCGTCTCCACATCGATTATCGCGTCGTCCGGCCCGGGCGTGAACCCCGTCGCCAGCTTCGCTATCATGCCCTTGTCTGACCAGGGGTCGGGGTGGGAGTGTGCGTCAGGGACGGAGGGAGGGAGAGACGTTGAGCGTACTGCAGATAAGCACCACTGCTGCCACGTTTGAGAATTCTCAGAAGGAACGTTGCTACCGCGCACGCCAACGCACCGAGGGACGTGCGCATGAGATAGTCGCTCCAGATGCTGACGGCGCTGCGAGGCACCTCACACCACGCTCCTCCCCGCTACCCACGGCAAAGCCTGCTCCGTCTACCCCCAACCCAACGTGGTTACCAAGTTACAACACTGCCTGCCCTCCCCCCCCAACGTACGCACCGGTGGACGTGCGCATGAGGTAGTCGTCCCATATGCTGACGATGCGCGCGCCGAACGCGGGGATGTCGTAGTAGAACGCCACCATGGGCGGCATGTACTGCGCGCCGCTGCCACCGCTCAGCGTGCGCCGCGATCCGTTCTTCACCGTCGTGACCTCGCTGATCTGCTCGCCAGCGGCAGTCGCGGAGAGGCGCGGAGGGGAGGGGGGGGAGGACAGACAAGCGCAGACACGGGCGGACAAGGTCAAGGAGGGCGATTGCGGGCGGAGGAGGGTGGATGAAGGCGGGGGATGGCGGAGGAGGACGGAGTAAGGGGGACAAGGTCAAGGAGGTGTGAGTCCAGAGGAAGAGTTGCGAGCGCCACTTGGCGCAGCAGAGTCTCTCCCACCTCACCCCCACAGCAGCGACTAGCCGTCAACCCTCGCCTCACCTGGCACAGCAGCGACTAGCCGTCAACCCTCTCCTCACCTGGCAAAGCATCGACTAGCCGTCAACCCTCTCCTCACCTGGCAAAGCAGCGACTAGCCGTCAACCCTCTCCTCACCTGGCACAGCAGCGACTAGCCGTCAACCCTCTCCTCACCTGGCAAAGCAGCGACTAGCCGTCAACCCTCTCCTCACCTGGCAAAGCAGCGACTAGCCGTCAACCCTCTCCTCACCTGGCACAGCAGCGACTAGCCGTCAACCCTCTCCTCACCTGGCAAAGCAGCGACTAGCCGTCAACCCTCTCCTCACCTGGCACAGCAGCGACTAGCCGTCAACCCTCTCCTCACCTGGCAAAGCAGCGACTAGCCGTCAACCCTCTCCTCACCTGGCACAGCAGCGAGGGCACGAAGTTGGCGGCGGTGAGCGAGTCGCCGATGACGGCGATGGTCTTGCCCTTGATCATGTTCAGGAACGACCTGCCAGGACCACATGTGGATTCAAAATAAGATCCGATTCAGATTCGCGTTGAAGTTGCGGCTTCGATCACGTTAGCACATTGCGATGGAGCGATGAGGGGACGGGCAGCCTGAACGAGGATAGGCGCGGCGAAGCAAGGACCGCGGTATTGGTCTGATAGCGGAGGTGGTGACAGCAACGAGCGGGGTGCGCGTGGTCTGGGTTAACCGCGAGTTGTGGGGGTGCATTGGCGATTCAGGGAACGCACGAGGGACGCGTGCGGGAAGCGCACGGGCCAGCGCGGGGGGGAGACGCACTTGGAGTTGAAGCGGAGCGTGCGGCCGCAGCTTTCGGAGTACCACGAGTAGCGCACGAACCCGCTGTCCGGCCGCCCGTTGCCGCGACACCGGGAAATCTGAAACTGCGCAGGGGGGGACCCGCGGAATGGGGGAGGGCGCGCGGAGGGCGAAATGCGGAGTGGAGGGGGTTGGAAGATGAGAAAGTTAGGGGAGGGGGAAGGGAGGGCAGAAGTGACAGAGGCAAGGAAAGAGGAAAGGGGACGCGCAGGGGGTCGCGCGGCGAGCTTACAAGGAAAGGGCAGCTCTCGTCGTAGGGCGGCCGCGACGAGTCTGCCACCCATTTGCCGTCGAACAAATCGCATGATAACGTTAGGCCAATGAGAATGCTCCACGTCAACGCTGTGCACTGTAACGCTAAACTGCCGCCGCGTCTGCTGCAGTGCCACCACATGGCACCTGCGGTCCTACACTCCGATAACAACGGGTAGATGTCCGTAGACAGTCTATCTAAGAGCGTACTAACTACTAATGCGAGGTCTACTTTCCTTGCAGAGTGCTAGCGTGGGGGGGCCTAGTCGAGGCTTCCTGCAACTCCTAGAAATGTAGCGGCATTTGCAACGAGCTTCTCGTGAAAATGCAAACGCTGTTTGCGACGGGTTGGCGCCTCATGATTGTATGCGGTATGGCCGTGGGCGGTGCGCGGCTGGGTGGCAACGAGACGTGATTTACACGTAGAGGCTGAGAGATGGCAAACTGGGAGGAGCGACGCACGTATTTTTCCCCACGTGATGAGTGCAACAGTGTCGTCGCGTCTCGTCGTCACGTAAGAACTCTAGAGGCTGTGAAGCTTCTTAAATGAGCTGGTTAAAGCACTATTGTGACATTATTCAGCGTGGTGAAGTTCATGGCGAATAGGCCTACATGGACGATTGGTTTTTACCGTCCGTACTTTCTGGTCCTACGACGTTCAACGTTTCGCCCATCAATATAAAACACAGGTCTTGCACCTCACTTTGCATCGCAAGGCCAAGAGAGCAGCCAAGGCGAGAGCAGCGACGGGACAGATCTGATGTGGCAGTGTCGGCTGTATCTCGCAGTGCGCTTGACTGTGCGTGTGTTTCGAGTCCCACCCTAGATAGGCGCGCCATAGTGATATGTGGGCTGAAAGAGGGTTGTCGGGCTCAAATGAAACCCATCCGTGAATCCATCGTGGTTGTCGGCCAGGTGAAGGAGGATGGGCGAGACGAGGAGGGGGGAAGTCCTGCTGACGACCGGGCAGCCCGATGATGCTGTCAATTCGCGCTTCGCTCAGAACCCGAATTTCGACATGCGGCTCGTTCTCGCGGGCAATTTTCGTTCCACCGCCTTAGCGGCGCGAGGTTGTTCGGCGAATGTGGGCCCTCAGATAATGATCCGATTGATGAGTGATTGATCCTGTCGTTCCAGTGAGCGAGTGTAGCGAAATGTTTGGACGATTGTTACTCGTCGAAGCGGGGGCAAATAACATGGATAAGTTATCATGTTAGAATAATCATTTTTTACATCAACCTCATCAGTCACTGCCAAAACCAGGTTAGAAGTTGCATTGGGTGGGGAATGGAAACCCTAAACCAGGATAAACAGAAGCTTGAGCAGGGCCGGAATGGAAATACGTTGCTGACCACTTGTCTAGACTGGAACCCCCTTGTGAACTGCCATTATACAAGAGTTGCCTCCACATCAACTTTTGCCAGAGGAAAGCCAACAAAGGGGCAAAACCACTAGCACTAGACCTAACCAACCGTGATTACTTTCTTCCCCCCCTATGCCAAGGCCTTCTGGACCTTCCACCCCCACCGCCTCTACCGCCTTGACCACCCCCTCCCTGAATGCCCTGCACGGCCCGGCCAATGAGCTTCCCACCACCGCCGCCACCTGCACCGCCATCCTGCCGCACCTTCTTCTGCTGCGGTGCTGCTGCCGCCCCGCCCCTCCCATTTGCTGGCCCTGCCCCTCGCTTCGCCCTGCTTGCAGCAGTGTGGGGGGGGGGGGCGGGGGGGGGGGGGGGTAGAGAGGACGTGGGGGTGGGAAGGGGAAGGGATGAAATAGGGGGAAGGCGGGGTGTTCAAGTGAGATGGCATGCCAGGAGCAGCGGAGGCACAGCAAGCACACAAGGCGAGCCGAGCACTTTGCGTGCTCTCGACCACGCAAAACAAGATGCAGGGCTGTTGGAGCACGAGAGCAGTGAGACTTACCCGACTGCTTGTGCTGGGCCAGGCTTGGCAGCGGAGGGCCCTGCAGGGGCAGCAGCCTCGGGCTTCCAGGAGAGTGCCGGTGCCGCCTTGCCGCCCAGGAACTGCGGCACGGAGGACTTGAGTGGCTGGGCGGCGCAGCAGCATAGGGCGCGGACGGGGCAAAGGGCAAGAGGCACACAGGAGTGGAGGGGGACAGAGTCAGTGGTGCTTCTGTGCAGGACGGGTGGGAGTGCGCGTGGCAGCTTGCCGTCCAGAAAGGGACGTGTGGTGACGTAGGAGTGTGGTGGGGAGCATGTTGGCTGAGGTGGGATGCAGGGAGAGTGAGATACTCGTGCACCAGGGGGGACGGAACACTGCAGGCACAGCCATGATTGGCCACCGCGAGTGCATGAGATGATTCAAATAGAACAATGTTGGCTGTATCATTACTGCTGCTATCACACGACCCTTGCTGTCACCCCAACGCACCTTGCTGAGCTTCTCGATGTTCTGCAGTGCCTTGAGCGTGCGCGCCGCCGCTGCCTTCTTCTCCTTCTGCCATCATTAACCCAGACAGGGTGAGCGTGGGCAACCAGGTGGTGTGCGCGTTTGAGCATTTGAACATATGTGCATGTGCTCATGTATGAATGTGTGCATGTGTGAAGCATGCTATGACACAGAAAGTGTAAACGCTCTGTGACTCGGGCAGAATACGGAGCAGGCAGGCAGGCAGGCAGGCAGGCAGGCAGGCAGGAAAGGGAGGGAGGAGGCAGGGAGGGGAGGCGAGCTTACAAGGTCGGTGATGGTGGGCTCATCCTTGGCGGAGCGCTGCTGCTTGCTCACCTCCGCCACCTCCTGCAACACCGCCTTGCTGCGCTTCTTCACCTCCTCCTCCATGCCCGTCACCCTGGGCGCACGCACAGGGAAGACGGCAACCAGCGCACACAGAGCACAGAGCAGGCATCAGCGAGCAAGCAGCACTGCCGTGGGAAACAGATAGCACAAGCGAAACCAACCTATGAGCGGTGAAGGAAACGGGTGGAGATGGTGGGGAATGAGCCTTCACCTGGCAAGCAAGGCCTTACCCGGACAGGTATTACATGGACAAGTGTTATTTGGACAGGCCCGGACAGGTATTACCTGGACAATTGTTATTTGGACAGGCGTTACATCAACAGGCATTACCTGAATGGGCCTTATGTGGTCATGCACTACCTGAACACGCGTCACCTGGGCGAATGTCATCTGGGAAAGCATCACCTGGGCAGGCGTCACCAGGGCAGGTGTTACCTGGCGAGCCAGTCAGCATGCAGGTCTTTGAAGTCCTCCCCCAGGCGGTCGGAGGGCTGCCCCGTCACGATCTTGTAGCCGCACAGCGCATTCGTGGCGTTGGGCGTCTGTGGGAAGGGAGGGCGGTGTGGCAGGGCGGCAGGGAGGGAAGGCCGGAAGGCGGGGAGGCAGGGAGGGAAGGCAGGGAGGCGGGAGGGCGGGGAAGGAAGGTAGGGAGGCAGGGAGGGGAGGAGGAGGTAGGGGGGCAGGAAGGCAGGGAGGGCATTGAGAAGATGGGACTGTCTGTGAACCAATGTGGCAGACACATGCGCATCCATGCGTGCTGTCAGCGAGTGCATGCAGACAAAGCCAAGGGATGGCATCGTAGATGCATAACATTCCCAACCCATGCATTTCACTCACAGGGCGCTCATATGCAAGGCATCAATGCCGCCCAGGCGAGGTAGTGGCGCTTGTTAACAAGCAGAAGGTGGTTGGGAGTGAGAGCAGCACCTTGTGGGCGAGCTGGTTGAAGGTGAAGAGCACCTTGTGGGCGAGCTGGTTGAAGGTGAAGAGCACCTTGTGGGCGAGCTGGTTGAAGGTGAAGAGCACCGCCTCCAGCGCCGTCACGTCCACATCTGCGCCCTTCTTTGCCATGTAGTCCTGCGGGGCGGGGACGGGATGGTGCATTGTGGGGAGGAGAGAGATTTGAGTCCTCAGGGAACTTGTTGGCTGGAAGTGAGCGCTACAAGGAATTGAGCCCCGGACTGAAGGCACGCGCTCACCTTGAGCAAGTCAGTGACCCCTCCCCTGGCGGCAGTACCCTGAGCCCTGAACCCTGCGGCTGACAGCACGCACTCGCTTTGAGCAGTGGATTGGATTCACACCTTGAGCAGGTCCGTGACCCCCGGCAGCAGGTGTCTGGAGTCAGCCGGTGATGTGAAGGGCGACGCCTCCGCCATGCTCCTCAGCAGCTCGCCCCTCCTGTCCTCCGCCACCTGCAGGCATCAGTGCACAATGGCGTGATGGTATGATGGGTGGTGGCACCATGGGCATGGTGGGATGATGGGCATGGTGGGATGATGGGCATGGTGTGACGGGAGAGAGCTGTGTGCGGGGGGACAGAGTACAGTGCAATGCAACTCGTGCAGCAGAGTGCATCACAGCCGGTGGACCGTTTGTATGCAGTCATGCGTGGCGGGCCTTGCTGTGGCCCTGATCGACAATGGTTTATGGCAGTGGGTGTGCCATGTCCAAGGCGGGGAGGGCAGGGCCGTACCTTATCAAATGCAGGGAGGATGTGCTTCGCGATGAAGTTGAAGAACTTGCTGTTGGACCCGCCCCTCTGCAGTGAGAGCGGTGCGCAGGTGTGGAGATGGGTGTGAATAGAGATTGAAGAGAACCATCAGTGAATGAGTCGCAGAGGCAGAAGTAGATTGAATCTTCTCGGTTAAAAGAAAACTGGTGGGAAAGGAGGATGAGAGTGACTGCCTAGGAACGTTAACAGATGGGGTGAGAAACAAGGAGTGGGGAACGCAGTGGACGGCAATCAGAGAGCGCTATTTGAAGAACGAGGGTAGACTTTGGGATGAGGTGGAAGGGAAAAAGAAGGGTGCGAGGTGGACTGGGTGGTTTACGTGAAACAAGGATGGGAGCAGATAAGAGGGCGGATGGCAGTGTGACTATGACATGTCGGGGCCATGCATATCGCACAGACAGGAGCAAGGGCAGCAAAAGCAGGAAGAGCAGCGAGGGCAGTGGGAGGGGAGTGTGTAAGGCAGCAGGGCACTGACAGCGAAGAAGGGCAGCGCCATCTGCAGGCATGCCATGACCCGCTCTATGTGGTCCGTGTCTGACGC